TCTAGATGAAACTTTACGAGAACATCATATGATGAAGAATAGATACGATAAAGAAGAATAAAACGCGTTTGAATTAAACGATCGTCCAATCGATTACATATTATTATATTTTTAAATAGAATATAGAATTGAATTGAAACGAATAGAAAGGAATAATTAGATAAAGAAAAAGAGAATAACGAATTTTTTTATTCGAGTTTAACAGGATGCTTATTGATTTTCTCTGCAAACTTTAAAAGTGAGCTTTCATTGGTCTCAGTGACATCAGATTCGACGTGTCCTCGGAAGCGGATACATCGAGCATGACAAACAAATGGCTCGTTCAAAGGACCACCGACGTCGCATCGGTGCAAAACACCTCGAGCGCGTACAGCAGTGCCGCATCGAGTGCAATGGGTAATCACAATGCAAACAGCCTATACATGGCCGATCTCGTCGATAATGGTGCGCTTAAGTCTGCCAGTATGCTGCTCAGTATAGAGGACTTTGACGTCAGCAGGACAAGTCGTCAAGTTTTTATTTAACCAAGTTGATAATCAAGTTAGTACCCTATTCTATTTATTTATACCCATTTTTCACCATTATATTTTACATTCTTGTTTATCGTTGAAATTTTCATATTATTATCGAAGAAAAATATTCTATTACACGCAATGAATTATATCTTTAATTCTTTTTCTTTTTTTTTTTTTATGTAAATTTGTTTACAAATAATAATTTAGATTCAATGGAACGATATTTTTTTTTTCCATGTAAAATAATATACTCGTTTTAATTACTTTGTATAGAAAGAATAGAAAGGTTCTAAATATTTGAAAGAAATCGGTAATTTCCCCAAGCGACCTTTCGCCTTTAAATTTTGTTTCCTCGATCAAGCGTTGCTTGAACGCGCAAAATCTTACAGAAAATACCATTAAGGCCATTATGTCCATTACGTCGAACGTGGCTGCATCGAGTACGTAACCTAATCGAATTGTTTTTATCCGTTTAACGGACGAAGCCTTGCCCAGAGTTCGAACCGGCACCATTTCCTGCCCTTTCTATTTGCGCGTTTAATACAAACTATCACGTAAGTCTCTTGTCCTCTGGTTATCGGAGAGAAGATTAAACATCGGTCTTGTATCATCGAAATATCCATAAATTTCAATTTTTCCTTTCTTTTAACACGGTGATTGATCAATTAAATTTTATCTTCTCAATGCGAAAACATTTTTTGCGAAAAATAAAAAATAGGAATCAAAATTCAAATATAACTTTTCATTCTCATCTTCATCAGATGTTTTTCGCATAAAAAATTAAAATATTTGTCAATTAGTTAATTTGTCAATTTTCATACTATCGATAAAATTTCTACGAAACAACGGTGTGAGAAGAAAATCTTGCACGCGAACCACACGTTGTAGTAGACCACGTAGCGTCTGGAAGGGAGGAGATCGATTTTAGAATTTCGCCTGTCGTCTCATTAGGGTCTTCTTTCATTCAATGCGAAACTTAAACTTGGCAGCATTAGTGAATCACTGTTATTGACTTGGCGGAAAGGAGAGGGGCAGAGGATCGTCTGTCATTTCTACGGAATCACCCTTAGTATCCCTCGGGCGGTCTTGCACGTTACCCACGTAACGTTTCCGTGTTCCAAATTTTCTCTCGAGAACGAAGCGATGCCCGATCCGTCAATTCCGACGCACGATGCATAGAGAACGAATCGTCCCCTCCACAGATTCGCGTATTTCATTCGAGCAAACAACTTGATACGAAAAGTGAACGATTAACGCGTTGATCGATACGAGCGACAGTGTATATTCGAAGTGACAGTTTGGAGAAGGACAGACGGTGGCAGAGATCGACATTTGCCATGCACACCAACGTTCGATCAATCGTTGTTCAGGCGCAGAATCTGCCAACAGCGCGCCGCCAATCCCACCCAGACGGAGGAAGCGCAAAGTGAGGCCCCCGGCGATCGCGAAATCATTGGAGAGGACGTCGCCCTCGTCGAGCGCCAGGAAGAAGAAGACGGAGAGGAAACGCTTGGCGCCTCCGCCGCCGCCCCCGCGACCCCTTCGAAGGATCGAGTCGCCGAAATCGAAGGATCGGAGGAGGGGGATCGAGGAGATAGACGTGGAAGGAGCGTTGAACAGTCTAAGCTCCGTGGACACCTGTGAAACTTCCCAACCGTCGTCCATACAATTCGAGGAAGCCGAGTCGAGGATATCCAATGTCGACGTCGATCTCGAGGCGAGGAGGCAAAGAAGCGAGGAAGAGGAGGAGAGGAACGAGAGGCGCGGTGCCACGAGTTTGCCTCAACAACAATCACCGTTCATGTTCGAGGCATTGTCGAGGAAAGAGACCAACAAGTATCCGCCGTTGCTGTTCACTTTGCACGACTTTCAGAACGTGATGGCCGACACGTTGCAGCACGTCGAGCGGGACGATGGCTCGAAAGACTCGCCGAAAAATTCCCTCGACGATCGTTGTCGCGACTCCTTCCACGAATTCTTCGAGAAATCGTTGGACGACGAGGGCAGCGAGCTCTCGTTCCGCGTCACCACCACCAATCTTCCGTTCGAGAAATGTTTGGACAGGTGGGCAGCCACCCTCGAGGATCAGATAATCGAAAATATGGACCAGTCGAGTTTCATATTCGAGGATTACATGGACAGAAGCAACAAGGTGAACATTCGCCGATCCTCCGCCCCGATGTGCTACACGAACGAGGAGGAGGAGGAGGAACCTCGAAAAGCGGTGGCGGCGAAGTTGACCAAGGTGAGATTCGTGATCGAGTCGCCCAACTCCTCGACCCCTGACCACGAGTTGGATGATGCCGGGTTGCCGAGTATCGATTCGTTGGCGAGCGGGGACGCGGATGGCTGGAATCGTGCCTCTTCCGTCCAATTGACCGAGATCACGAACGACGCGAATTGGACGGACACGAGTAAGGTTTTCGAACAAGGTCTCCAGGAGGACGAGTTCGGCGACGTGCCGTTCAGCTCCGTTCTGAGGAACAGTTCGGAGGAATGGTCCCTCGAGGACGCGAGTAATCTGGGAGAGACGATTGGATGTTCGGCGGATCGTTTTAATTCGACCGAATTCGACTCGAAGAGTCGGGTTTTCTCGTGGCCCGAGCAAAAGTTGGAAATCACGGAGATTGGCGAAGAGGAGGAGTTTGGAGATGGATCTTTGACAGGCGAGAAGGATGGTTTTAATTCGGCGGAATTCGACTCGAAGAGTCAGGCTTTCTCGTGGCCCAGGGAAAAGTTGGAAATCACGGAGGTTGACGAGGAAGAGGAGGAGAAGGAGGAGTTTGGAGATGAATCTTTGAAGGAGGAGGATAGTTTTAATACGACTTCGAGATTCGATTCGAAGAATCAGGTTTGCCCGTGGCCCAGGGAAAAGTTGAAAATCACGGAGGTTGGCGAGGAGGGGTTGGATTTGGAGTGCTGTTCCGTGTTGGCCGAGGATGGTGGTTTCGCTTCGAACAACGTGGAAGACAATAAAGAATATTTAAACGAGCGTAACTCGACGAATAAAAATATTACGGGAATTATTTCGGAAACTGCTGCTACTGGAACGGAAGACAACACCGATTCGAAAAGCGTGTCAATCGGAAATGAAATAAACGGAAATTTTGTCGGGAAGGGATGGGCAGTTAGCGAGAAAGAGGATTCGTTTGCTGAAAACAAATCGACAATAAACAAGACGAAAGTCTTGGATCAAGCGACAAACCAAGTAGGGAATAACGTTTTAAAAAATAATTTATTATCGAATATAAGAGAGAGCGAGACTAGCGGGGAGGCATCGTCGATCGAGGAAGATACGAATGTTGACGGGCGCGTAAAAATTATCGAGCAATCCGATAAATCGACGGGGGAATACAAAAGAAAGATTTTCGTGAACGAGTCTCTTCGAAACATGATGAATAATTACTGCTTCACGTCGAACGAGTTGGAGGAAGAGAGCGAAGATTCCGACGACTCGAACGCTTGCGAAACAAACGAAAATGAAAATTGTCAGAAAGAAAGGAAAGAAGCGATCGACACGGATCGAAAATCGCAAGATAATCGTAACGAATCTTTGGAAAAGAAAAGCGTTCCGGTCGATATTCGGCGAAACTTCTTCCTTGAGAATATGTTATCCGAGGACACGGATGAATCGTGGACGAGTTGCAGAATCATCGCCGCACACCCAAAATCGCCCGCAAAGCGGGTGGAATCCGGGGGGGGAGAGGAGAGGAAAGTGGCGGTTCGGTTGAACGAGTCGATAAGAATGGATTTCGAGATCCAGAAGATTTTACAAGGGTCGAAGAAGGTGGACGAAACAGGTTCACCGAGACCGACGGCACGGTCGACCACGAGGAAGGTGGTCGAAACGGGGAAGAAAAACGCGAGTGACGTCAAGTGCGACGTATTGAACGAGTTGCTCTCCAATTTCAACAGCATAAGATTGAAACCGGTGAACGCGGAGAAGAAGAAAATTCATCCGCGGGTGGAACGAACGAACGACGACGACGAGGAAGGGATCGCATCGAGGAACGATCCTAACGATTCCAATTCCCCCTTTCGAATCGCCGGGAGAACGAACGACGAAAATATAAATTCGAGAAGTACGGCGAAGCAGTGGCGAAACGCGGCCTGTCTGACGACCAGGAAAATTCTGAACAGCTGGAAGTGCGATAACGAAGCAGCGAGGAAACAATCTCAAGATGATGTCAACTTCTCCGAACCATCTATTAAACTTGATAAGACAGATTCCTGTTCGACGAAGCAGCATCGAGCTTGCCCGACGAGGAGAACGATTCTAATGAATCAAGTGTCCCAAAATGACTCGTCCGTGGAGACTGGCGTGCAAGGTGCGATTAAACTCGCGGAAAACGGGAAAGTTTCGTCGGATGTTGGGAACGAAGGATCGTCGGAAAGGACGAACGACGAGGAAAGAACGAAGAACGAGAAGTGTAAATCGGAATTAGTGAGAACGAGGGAAGTGGAGGAAAAATGGACGAGGAAAAGCGACGCTGTTGAAGGGACGAGCGGAGGAGGAGGAAGGGAGCACGTGCAGACGTGCAGCGAAAAGACTGAGAGACTGACAGAGTTGAGCGCGATTAGCGGCGAGCAGAAGAAGAAGAAGAGTGCCATAGCTAGGAGGAATTCTCGACCCCATTGTAATAATAATGACAATAACAGGGCCGTAACGACACCCGTAGTTCTAAGCGACGACCAATCCCGTGACGTTGTAACGATAACCCCGGGTAGAGTTAGGAAATTCGTCAAGTACTACGAGATTCGACACGAGGTGACGACCGACAGAGATTCTAAAACTAACGATAGAGTAGATAGGGAGGGGATGTCGGGCCATCGGTCCGTCTACAGCATCCGCAGGGGTTTGGAGGCGAAGACCGACACGAAGAAGAAGAGGAGGGACGAAGATTCGTCGACGGACGAAGAGAGATCGTCGGCCGATTCGAGGAAGAAGGAGAGCAGGGACGATAGGGGGACGATGGAGAAGGTTGGAAAGCGCGAGTCGAGCACGATACACGATGTCGTGGACCTCGTCGAGGATGATGACTCGAAGAGGGCAGAGACGATGCGCCACGTGTCGTCGTGTACGCGTGCCGGTAAAACGAACGAAAGAAATCGGTGAAATTTCAAGGTGGTTTCACTGTGATCGGTGCGAAGAGTCTGGAAGATAATGGCCCCGTGGGGAGTCCCGGTGACGGCCAGAACGCCATCGAAAGGAGGAAGATCCCCGACAGACCGAGGCAGAGAGGAGCAGCTCTCGTGGACAAAGTGGATTTTCAAGATGGACAGCCCGAGGAATTGGCCGACGCTGACTCGCGCTCTTTGGAGGATAGAGATATCGCTGCTGCTCAGGTTAGTGAAGAATTGAATTGGGATAAAGATTCGTTAAAGGGATGTAGAGAGGTTCTTTCGCCTTGTTTTTTTTTTTCTTCACTTTTGTTGTTTTAAATTTAATTCGATCGTTTCGTGAGTAGAAGGAATTACGAGAGTAAAAAAATATCTATATCTATGAAATTTCGTAAAATGTATGTGGAATAGTTTAACGAATAGCAAGAAGTAATTTATATATTTTTAATCGTAGTCGTTGTTGGTTACTTCGAGTCAGATTAAATTTAACGCAAAAGAAATTTAACATCTCCTCCCCGACGAGATAATATACGAAATAACGATTTGCTTAATTTTTTTTCCCCGCAGATACAAGCCGCAGCGAAATGTGAGGAATGTTCAGGTATTAATCGCTTCGTTTCAAAACCAGAAACCCCACGCCTCGTATTTTACTGTACTGTATAGTTAATAAATCGTAGTTTCTAAAAGTCGTCGTCGTCGTCGCCGCCGTTCCTTCGAATCTCGGACTCGAGATTTAACCACGTTCACGTTTCGTAGCGTCATAGCTAAATCAAGTCTTTTCCATACGTTACTTTTGCCGAGCCTTGACCGAAGAACAGATTTTTCTCTCCGCTCGTGAAAAGAATAGAATTGCACAGAATTTCATTTTCACGCGGAAATGTTCTTTTTATACTCGTTTTTCTGAAGGAACCGAATTTCGCTTCGTATTATTACGGTTCCTTGAAATTTCAAAGTGAACGCGTTACACGAATGATTTTTCTTCCACGTATAATATTAGAAATTACAAAAAAAAAAAAACAAATCGTAATGAAATAAAATAGGAAGATTATCGAATCAGAATGCGTTCACGATTCAATAAATAATCATTACGAATTATTACTCTGTAAATTTTAATAAGAAAAGCATAATAATGATAGAATTTGGTAGAAGACGAAAACAGATTCGTATGATCGGATTGTTCGTCAATTTAATAAGAATTTGGAAGAAAATCCGTAGATGGCAGATGTCTGGTTGATCCTAGAAGGAGAGTTATCGGTTGGACAGATTCTTTCGGGTGAAGAAGATTAGCCTGTGGACGCGTTTTCCCCCGGATTTATTCGAGTTCCCGCGACGTTCCTTCCTCGTAATTTTCTTGCATCATTTTGTCCAACTTATTTTACTATGTTTTTCGAATAATGGGCAGCTTCGCTAGATTTACGACACCCTCGACGAGAGGCCGTGGAAACAAAAAGCAACGAAACGATTTGTGGCTCCGCCTTGCGATCACTGTTTCTTGCGCAGCGATACGTGGTGGAAATTCTTCCTGAAACTTTTTCCCACGGAAAAAAGAAAAGTAAAATCGATTTTTGGAAGCCAACCACGACGAAAACGAATTAACAAAGAAGCACACGGAATATAATTGAAAAATATGTTGGTTGGACTTATTCACTCGGTTAATAAATAAAAGTTAAAATCTAATTATCAAAAAATGGAACACGTTATGGAGATTTCCTATTTTTATGTAAAAAAAAGTTTCTCACATGCTTTCCTTTTGCATTCCGTACAAATATTGTCGGCGTTGGCGTGCAATTTTGCATTTCTTGTACCGATCAAAAATCAAATTTCACCTAAACGGAGTTCCTCCATCAATACTATTAATTGCCCCCTTCCTCCCAAAAAAGGAATCGCGAACAAAACTGTAAACAAAGATATATAATAACACGATACGAAGAAACAAATTCTTGAAAGAATGAAAAAAATCTGTTCTTTCGTCGAGCAGCTCCCTTATTATTAGCACGGTTAGTTTTCCGGTTCTCAGATCGAGTTGCAATTTAATTAGTGTTAAACGAGAAAAAACAGCAGACAGCTCTTAGCTCTGTTATTGTCGCAAACCTTCCTTGCATTTAGGTGAAACGTTGTTTTTTGGCGACATAGCGTATCGCAGGAGCCGCGCGTATATAACCCCATTATCCTGCGTATATTGTGTAATTATAACGTAAAGGTGGAAGTAATTTACGTGGTAGTGTAGTGGCGGTAATAATATAACTTGTTGCGCTGTTGTTTGTTGTGTTACGTATACACATTTATTCTACGTGTTCAACCTGATCAATTTTAACACGCAGATCACTGCAGTGATACGCAAGTGTCGGGAAAAGTACTCTCATTTCGGTGGCCGCGACCTCGTTTCTCGTTCGACCAATATTATCATTAGACAGAATATAATCTCCTCTGCGTTTATTTTTCATGATATTTTTGATTAAATAAGAGATAAGATATATATATATATATACATTCATCTTCAAAAACGTGTTTACAGTCTGCGTGTCACAATCTCCGAGTAAACAACAAGTTATTGATTTATCTGTTCCTTGAGAATAAACTCACTCGTTAATCCTATTTGCACGTAAATATAACTCTTTCTTGAAGGGAATAATAAGTAACGATATATATATATTTATTCTACTATTTTAAGTAAGTTAAGAGAATTCTATACGCTTCGTAGAGACTCGCGACAAATTATTTGAAATATTGATTTATCATATACGAAAGATTCGATTATATTATTGATAGATCGATCGATATTGTTTCTTCGAATTTTTCTTCTTTTTTTTTTTTTCCCAACAAACAACGCGTACAATGGAAATAGAGTGGAAACAATCGATTCACCTTTCGATCGTGTCAGAATTTCACGTGGCAGTCGTATCATGAGTGGCCGGGTTTCTGTAAAGTTCCCGATCTCGAAACGTGTCGAGAAGCGGCAGAAAGTTTTTGACACGCGTTGGCAGATCGAGTTAAAGGAGTTCGAGTTTCGTCGAGCTCTCTTTTTTTTTTATTTTTTCTCTTTGGCACGTTTGCCAAAGAATCGAGCCGCGATTTCATGCCGAGATCTCGTATACAGGATTGAATCACGTGGATTCGATCCAGAAATACTTTCCACGGTTATACACGCCGAAAACCTCGTGAATGATATCATCGTCGTTGCACGATTAACATCTCCCGCGATTAATAATCTCCCGTGAGAGACAGCGAGAGTTGTGCAAACGAGATGGAAATAGTCGAACACATTGAAATTTGAACCGGTTGAAAATAATTCGAGAGAATAAACGGGTATTGATCTTGTTTAATTAATCTCTTCGATCGTGTCTTGAGCATGCATACACTTGAATTTAATCGATTTTCTGCTTCTTAAATAATTTTAATTGTACGAATCAATAATATCGTCGAAGTATACATATACACTTTTCTCTCCCTTATCAATTATAACGATTTTGTCGTCAATCGAATATACGATGATTTATATAACGATGATTTCAAGTTGGTCTTGTTAAGTCTCGCTCTATTGTCAGATCCTTATTGAAAATATATTTTTTAATACTTAATTAACCGTGTATTTTAAGTATCACATTTTAACTTATGCTAATGGAAATTAATCGTGCATATAAATCGTGCGAACAAAGATGAACAATAGCGTACACACACATGAATATATATATATAAATCGAAATGACAGTACTTTTTGAGAAGATCGACACGTAGATCGTGATATGCATAGCAGTTTTCTTTGAAAGCGTGCAATTCGTTGGCCAAATGAGACTTAAAACGCGATGTGACTTGCGCAATCGTTTTATTCATTTCCTTTTCCCTCTCCCTCTCTTCTCTGTTGACTTATTGTAAGTAATATGATAATTTATCGTTCGAGTGCATTATCTTATATACGATATAGGAGATGATTAACGATAACGAGGAGAATAATAACGTTGATAAAATAGGGATACGTAAATGGAATGCTTCTTAAGACTTAGTATTATTATATATATATATATATATATATATATGTGCACGGTTACGATCGTTTGCATTCTCGCGAGGCGTGGAAATAAAAGAAGAAGAAGAAGAAGAAGAAGAAGAAGAAATAAGAAAGAGATTGTTAATTTTCTCTAATAATAAATACTAATCGCTACTTTTTTTAATCATATAAAAAAATTAAAATCAAAATCGTCGAAATAACAAATCTAACATTGGGATATTAATTGATCCGATTCCGCGTTTAGCAAGAAGGCAACCGGAAGTGTCTGTGGATATATTTATAGACATATTTATATATATATATATATGTACAAGATGAATGTGAGTATTATTATTACGCGATAACGATTCGCAATGAAAACGCAATGCGATTCACCCGGTTGGTTACGCAACCTT